TTTTTACTGTTCATAAATTAAATTCTGATATTTCAAAAATGCCGTTTTTAAGGTTTTATATTCAATTCTATGGCACATTTAATTATTTATATAAATAAAATTTGGCACTTTTAAAAATATTTTACTATTTAATACATATATTTTTATCTATAGCATGACATTTTTATTGTAATCATGGTACTACAACATACCTATAAACAAATTATAAATTATAAATAATTATAACTTGAGTTTTATTTCTAAATTTAGTTAAAAAGTTCCCTAAAAAAATTCATACATAGGCTTCTTTCATATTTCCCTGCTACATAGGCGAAACATTTGACAACATTTCTGGGGTAAACAAAATTATTTGCAAAATAACTCATTTTTAATGCTGCTCGAAAAATTAATAATGATTTGGGAACCCCCTGAATACCTTTGAGAAAAGTTCCAAATTATGATCAACCTTTTGAGCATCATTATAAATGAGTTATTATATATAATATATGTATATTAGACTGGGCCAAAAAAATTGACTAATTTTTTTTTTGAAAAATATATCGAGAATGTCATTCAGAATGACAAAAAAAATATTTCGTGAAAATTTGAGCCCTTAATATTAATTTTAAGAGGTCTATCATCGCTATTTTTGATTTTTAGTCATAATTTGATGTTTTACGTTAGAACTGTCAAAACATTAAACTGAAAAAAATTCCTTGTCACTAATTTTTATATAAAATTAAATTCTCTACAAAAAAGGTCTGATTGAAAATTTTCGTCAGACGAGCCGTTTCCGAGTAATTGAGCCTAATAAATCGATGTGTTTTTTCGATTTGCCCTTTTTACTTTGAAATTTTGTAACTAATGAATCAATGAATATTTTAAAAAGCTCACGTCGGATTCTTAAAGGAAATTAAATGTTCTACAAAAAGGTCTCTTAACATATTTGCCTAAATTTAATTCTTCAAAAGTTATTCACGAAGAAAAAATTGAAATTTTAAGTTTTTCTTCGATTTTAATCGTGAATAACTTTTGAAGAATTAAATTTAGGCAAAAATGTTAAGAGACCTTTTTTGTAGAACATTAAATTTCCTTTAAGAATCCGACGTGAGCTTCTTAAAATATTCATTGATTCATTAGTTACAAAATTTCAAAGTAAAAAGGGCAAATCGAAAAAACACATCGATTTATTAAGCTCAATTACTCGGAATCGGCTCGTCTGACGAAAATTTTCAATCAGACCTTTTTTGTAGAGAATTTAATTTTATATAAAAATAAGTGAAAAAGAATTTTTTTCACTTTAATGTTTTAAGAGTTCTAACGTAAAACATAAAATTATGACTAAAAATCAAAAATAGCGATGATAGACCTCTTAAAATTAATATTAAGGGCTCAAATTTTCACGAAATTTTTTATTTGTCATTCTGAATGACATTCTCGATATAGTTTTCAAAAAAAAAAATAGTCAATTTTTTTGGCCCAGTCTAATGTATATATATATATATATATATATATATATATATATATATATTTTACAAACAATTTTACTAACCCCAGAAAAACTTGTTGGCGCTTGTTTCTTTTTATCCATTATCCATTTGATAGATCAATGTTTCCAAAGCTTCCGTTACTTCCGTATTCACATCGCAATGCATGGTCGTGAAACTTTCACGGTGAAAGCCAAAACTTATCTTAATCTTGAGTTAAAAGTTGTAGTTGTAGAGATATGTCAGCCGATTTTTTAATAGCTATAACCTATAGGTTGGTTGTGAATCTTAATAGGTAATTCTGGAAAACGTGTACCTACCTACTCGTAATTGCTGATATTTAAAATTTTCCAAACTTTCCAAAATGTTATAATAGTTTTTGGATTCAATATAAATTTTAAATAATTTTATTTACGCCAGTGAGATAAGAACTTCTTATCCCACTCATTTTGAGTGAGAGAAGAAGTTCATTAATGCACGCGTTTTTCTCTGCTTTTAACCAATCAAATAAAAAAGTCAAAATGTCAAAATGTCAAAATAACCCTAAATTAAGTCTTAGACAAAAATAATTACCGTTTATTTTTTCATTTAGAGGCGTAGATAAAAATTTGTACAATATACGTGTGATAACGCTTTATTTATTAACGTACTTTTGCGATTTCGCATGCGTACGTTAATAAAGCTCTTATCCCACTTATATCGTAAATAACTATTACGATTAACTTAATTATTTGTTTAATAACTTTATTTAGTTGATTGTCATTGTCATTGTTAAAGATTATTTCAAAGTCCTCAAGTAATTTGTCTAAATTAAAATTTTTGATATTTCTAGTAATTATTTAAATTATATTAGTAAATAATTTTTATCATCAACGTTTTTTACTTAACTATTTGGTTATTTAGTGGGTCGCGACACTAAAAATGCTAAAAAACAATGGGTTAGTTCTGGCTGGACATCAGAACACTTATTATGAAAATAATAAAATTTCCAATAAAATACAAATCAGCGGTGTCTTTTTATGCGGAAATTGAGCAGATAAGTTTAAAATCAATTTTCAAACCCTTCTTCAGGCATGAGCGCCGGCAGAAAATAATCCTGGGAAAAACAAAAAATCCCTGCTGAAAAAATGTGATATAAACTTGATCAGATCCAATCAGATTCGATCAGATCCGATCATGATTTGATCAGGTTTCGAAATTCTCGATCAGATCAGATTAGGTTTCAAAATTCCCGATCATATTCAATCATGCTTCAGTTAGGTTATAATCTGTGGTTTCGAAACTCTTGATGAGATATTGCTTGCTTGTGTTACGATAAAACATTCTTAAGAATGTTTTAAAATTTTAAAGGATAAGGTACGAGTAAATTACAACAATCAAAGCAATACCCGTCGCGGGTTTTTTTCTATGCAATTGTAATATAAAACAATTGTTAAATAAAACAGTAGTGGTGAGTTTGGGATGAGCGGTTATTAAAAAATAACCGGTTTTCAGTTAACCGGCTTATTTATACCTAATAATAACCACTAAACAAACAACGGTCGGTGTTATAAACAACTTTCGGTGTTATAACGTTATTTATAACATTATAACGAATAAAATTGTTCCTATTACTAACATGACACGTGTTATTAATCATTAGGAATGTTCAATCAAATCCAACCGTAAATCCAGATTGGAACTCAGTCAGATTCGATCATAAAAACATAATCGGACACTCGATTAGATTTGATCATAAAAACAGGATTAGAACTTGTGTTGTCCCGCCCTCCGTCAAACGAGAAAAACGCAACCAAGAATACATCTACACGTAAAGCATCCTACCTATTCGAAATTAGACATTTAAATTAATGTTAAGTTTTTAAAATAATGCAGCGTTGCCCTTTCTTAAAAATACTTGAATTATATAACGTTTAATTACTTGGGTTGTACGGTTTGGTATTTTATGAATATTTTAAATGGGGTCCTGTTTAACCGAGCGCGCTAAAGCCGGCCCTGTCGCAATAGGTTGGGTGGGGATCAAAAACTGGTCGAGCGGCAGATGGGAAGCAACAGGTGAAGGAAAAGGTTCGTCCGAGTGAATCGGGGGTTTTCGTGTTGTGAAATAAACCTTGTAGGTAAGCTAAAATGATCCTTTACCTTGTTTAAATTAACTAACTAAGGTGGTTGTATCTTTTAACCAAGTTTAATAATGTAGATTTGTTGTGTTTTGGGGATATTTAGCCGAGAGTACGTTGCGCGTCTCTTTGCTCCGTAAAATGGCGGACGGGCGTGAAAAATGCTTGTCTAATGTATTGTGCCTGCTCGCGATAGGGAAGAGGGTTATAGGAGGTATTATTATTATTAAATAAGGTAATCTAATCTAATCTCTTCACAAGACTAGAGCTCGCCAATAGAGTTCCTTACCGACAAAGGGGTCATAATGGGAGATGTAATATGGAAACTATGCATTTATTATGTACACTGTAGCGGAATATGTTTAGATAGCTATAAAAGGTTTCAATACACTAGACAAAACGGTTTGCATCCAATAATATTCATTTTATAACCTGTTGTATTGTTGGGAGGGGTAAATTGCACTTGTAACATTTTATAAATCTGCTTTATTAACGCTTGGTATGACAAAGTCCAAATAACAAACGCTAACTAAAAAAACCAATATTCAATAAACACTGCAATACATAAAACGCTAACTACCGTCAACCAAACCTTTGTAAAAAAAACTCCATTGTAAACAAACAATGAATAGAGAAAACATACAACCATACTTATTGTGTTTTATTACCTAATCTGGTCTCCTCTCATTGGCTACTCCACCTATCTAGAAGCGAACTAAAATAACACAACGTAGGGTATCCTCTTTCAATTTTCTAGACGATCACTTCTTTTGGCCAAACTTGACAACACTGCTTGCGCTGTCAATATTTAAATTTAGTTCGCGCGATTCTTCGAATCGCCTTGGGTTACTGCCGTTTGCATGAGTATGGGGTACCCCCACCCCGTGCCCATCACAAACTCGATTAGATTCAAACACGAAAACCGGAGATAGAAAAGTGATCGAATCTGATCGGATTTGATCTGGGTCAAAATCTCAATTTTAAGTATCTATGTTTAAATGAAATTTAAATGCGCTGTTGTAGGTAGAGTATTTTAATTTTACAGGGGGAGGCAACTTCCCCGTCTTGCCCCCCCTGCCAGCGCCCATATCTTTAGGTCCCCCCAAGAGATGAACGTGGGGAGCACACACATATTCCACTGATATTTTTTTACAGAAGAAAACAAAATTTAATCAATTTTCTTGCATTAATCTATTAAATTTAACCTAAATAATAAATATCTAGGAGCTTTAAATGATTTGTTATTATTTTTTCGAATTAAATGCAAAAATGTGTGTGGGTTTTACACAGGTTTTTAAATAATATTATTTTTTTATATTTAAGTGTATTAGGTTTATCACAGCCTTTCTTTCTTAAAAAAATTAATATATATATATATATGTTTTAAAGTAACTAGCACTTTATAATTTTTAACACATCAACCTTGTTTAAGTCTTTCTGTTTTGTTTTGAATAGTTTTATTCATTCCCTTAGCTTCTATATGTATTTTATCTAAAACAGCTCAATTAGAATTAATATTATCAATAATTTATACAATTTACCTTTTTGAAATAGGACTTTATGGAGATTTTGAAAAGGCATTTCCACAAATAAAGTCAATAAGCAGGACAAAATTAATATTGTTAAAACTTCTGGAATATAGAACTAAAAATTAAGACAGTACCTATGGTATTATTCTATATTACTTTTATTTTTTTAAACTTACTATTATTGAGGGATTATATTCATCCGCATTGCGTCTTTTTCCTACATTATAAAAATAAACAGGAAATTGTACCAAATATAGGGAATACGCTATTTTTGTAAAATATTTCCAATGTTTCCATCTAAATATATCGGCAAACCATCCTTAAATAATAAAATAAAATTTAAACCGGCTTCAACAAATTTAGTTTAAAAAATTTAATTACCTCCATAATTTTTTTCAGTGAGGTATACAAATACAACTCCGACAAGACCCCACGTTAAGGGTCCAAAAGCTGCATATAAAGCTGCTTCTAAATTATTGTATTTAAAAGACATATAGGACATGTAATAAGGTCCAAACCAATTTAACAATATTACAGATCCAAATATACTCCAAAATAATAACATTTGTCGCTAAAAATACTGACTTTTAAAACTTGTTATGCCTTTTTTGGAAAATCACTATTTTTTATAAATAAAAAATTAAACAAATTACAATTAAATTGAATTACAGCGCGAAACTTGGTTTTTCTCGGAACCAAACTTAAATAAAGTAGGTACTTGGCAAAATGTTTTCTCCACATAAATAAGTATTTGTCTCTAAACTTAAATAATAAAATATTGTTCACGTCATCTTTGGCAAAACATTTTAATACGAATCATGGGCATTGCCAGGGGTCAAATGCCTCCCCTATAGAGACTCAAAAAAAGTTCCAGATTACTTATTGTCTAATTTATGATTCTTAGCAATTACGGTTTGGGAGTAATTAACGTTTTTCTAAAATAAATCGCAAAACAAGAAAATATTTTTTGACAAATCGATTTTAAATTAGCTTTTTAGCCATTTTGGGTAAAAAGGATATTCAAATTCATTTTAATATACGAATTTAAACCGATTACTTAGTGAAAAATATGTTATTAGTGGCTGCTTTTTCACTTATTCCATAGTTAACAATAGGATACCATGGTATCCCCAACATCAAACGGCTAATTCTTATGTAAAATTGTCCCCTGAACTCGAAAACACCCTCAAAAATTATTAAAGTAGTTGCAGTTTTTGAGATATAGTCAATTACAAATTATATGAAAAATTAAAATTTCGCTATCAAAATTAGTCATTTTTGACTAATTCATTTTTAGAGAGCACTGTTATCGAACCACCGGGATTCGAGGAAAAGCTTTTTTAATTGACTGCCGGCACTACAGATTATTTTAAGACCTTTTACCAAAGCCGTAGGTATATGATTTGATTAAATAAAAAAATTTAACCTTGGGCCAAACACTCGGCTTTGAATAAAATTGAGTCAAAGGTTTAGCAAAAGCCTACTTCCTATTAGAAAATTTGGGGATTCACAGGCAATCTGTTAAATGTTTGGCTTCGACTAAACCTTCGGCTTAATTTTAGCCGAAGCTGAATGTTTGGCCGAAGCAGGCATAATTCATATCCTCTATAAATATACCTATCATCTTGCCCCCCTGGACCATTAGCTGGCGAATATATTTATTCATTAAACATTTCTTTAAATTGGCTTTTTTTTAAATGAGGTATCACAAGATTTTTAAATGTTATATCGTTATTAATTCCTAAAATAAGGCCTTTAGAGAAAAAATGAGGTTTTGGGCTATTTCGAGGAAAATGCATAGGATAGATTCATTTCATTAATTTTTTGCATTTTTAATGGTATTCCATATTTATAGTTTCTATGGACACTCTGGACAAGCATTAATTTAAAACAAAATATCGAACTTTAGGTCTAAAACCTCGTTGCCAAATTTACATATTTTCTCTTGGATGTTTGTAATAATATCTTTACCATTTGTCTTACCTTCGTAACTTCAGACTTTAAGTTTATAGTTTTTAGAGCATATGCTAAAAGCACACCCAATAGGTAATTTGTGGCTCTATGGGTGGGTAAAATGTATGATAAAGTAGCCACATCAAACAATTGTGAAACCCTGAAATTAATTTGTATGTATAAAATTGGATAATTTTTGAAAAAATAAAACCTACGATATTCCGTAATACACGACATAGCTTAAATTATAGACATAATTGGCCCAAAAACGAAAAATTGTTGAAATTAATATGCATGCAGATGTTACCCATACTCCTATTTTTCTATTTTTCCACAGGAGCAGTGCAAATATTGGTGTCACCAAAAACAATTGCATATCCATGCCTATTTGATGTGTGTGAGTTAAACACTAAAAATTAATATTATTTTACATAATTGGTCATTAACCTTCTGCGAAAAATTATTATCAAAACACTATAGGTGGAATTTGCAAGCATAGCTTAAAGCTTCCCAGCAAACACATAAGTCTGGTAATGTAATGGCCCAATGGGCCAGGCCCATTACAGCGTTTAATGGTTAAATGATGACATTTTTAACCCAAGCTGTTCTTGTACTGGGCCTCTACAGGAATTTTTCGTTAATAAATGTCAATTTAGACCAAAGGCTGTCGTAGTAAGGTCTTGCAATGGCCCTTTTCAGGCAATGATATGTATAATTTAACATTAAAGGCCCACAAATGGCAATTATAAGTATCAAGTTAATGGAACTTAACACACCATTACAGTGCCAAATGTTTTCCTTTGCTTTAAATATGGTGTAATTACACCATATTTACTAATGAATTGCCTCATGTTAGTGGTATTATGCATATGCATATAGAAAAATAATATAGGTTTTGAGATATATTAATTAATTATCTAATAGGTGTATTTTATAATTAATTATTAATGAACTAAACAACTAGGTACTACCTTTTTCAAGTAAGTATTTTTACTGTACAATTTTTACATTAATGTCTTACTATTTAATAACCTAGGTTAATATATTCTTTTACTAATGATACTCTTAAGTAAAAATTAATTAATTTTTAGAAACGGTTAGGCTAAAATTTGAATTAGCCAATACAAAAGATATTGAAAATACTATGAAAGCATGGTTAAGGGGAGCAATCGACAGGGATGGTGGTCGTAAAAATCGAGAGGAAAAAAATCAATGAAATTATTAATTTTTCTTATTTTAATTTTTTTTTATTTACTGAAAGAAATTTGATTTTATTTTATAATATTTGTTTTTTTTCAATTAAATATGTTATGTTATAATTATGTTTGAATTACATGTATTTTATAACACATTAAACACTTTGTATTTTTTAATTTTTTGAAAGTTTTAGGGACATTCCATGATAACGAAATTTTTGTCCCGACTGTTATCTATATAGTAAAGACCTATCTATTATGGTGGATTAAATTTGGTAGGTATATATTTATTAGGTCGGATATTACACGATAATCGGGAATTTTTATCCCTACCGTCAAAAATCGGTCGGGATAAAATATTTCAATTATCATGAAATATCCGTACCTAGTAAATATATAGGTAGGTACCACATTTAATCCGACTTACTTACTTTACTTATCCATTAAAGAATATTTAACTAACCACTATATAATCTTTAACACCCCATATAAGAACCTTTAGCTTGCCACATTTGTACCTTTAACCTGCCATATCGGAACCTTTAGCGGTTCTTGTAAGTGTCTTTATCGACTGCCGTTACATGCCCATAAAAAGTGAACGCGACATAATATGTAGAGGTCCATTAAAGTCAGCCTTTATAGGGCCTTTAGTTTATTAAAGGCACGCGTTTAAAGGGCCATTACAGAACCTTTACGGTTGTGTTTGCTGAGTTTAAACAATAACATTTTTATAAATAAACATTTTGTATTCGTATTAGCCTTAAAGTTAAATACAAATATTCGTATACCAATATATATATATATATATATATATATATATATATATATATATATATATATATATATATATATACGGCGTAGGAATCTTGAATATAATATGGATACAGTGTGTCTACTTAAGTTGGCAACATATGGGAAACTTTTTTATTATTAATTTTAAGAAAAAGAGTTATTCCTCATAAAAAGTTCTGCATGTTCTAAAATCTAAAATACAATCATCAGATATAAAAAAAATTCAGTCGTATTGTAACGTTTTTAATTGTTCGTAGTGTGAATAAAAACACGCACTGGTTAATTAACGAACTTAACTATTTATTTAATAACTTAGCTACACTTAAAACACTATAAAACTAACTAAACACTTAACTACTAATTATTTATATCACTACTAGTTTATTTATTTGTACTTATATTTATTTATTTCTTCGCGAGTACCAAAGCTCAACTGACTGCTCTGTGCTGCTCCGTTCCTTATATATTCAGCGCCCAAGTCTTTGGAACATTCCAGCGATGAGTCATCATTCCGATATCCAGAGCGGTACTCGCTACATTGCCCCCGTCTTAAAACATTTTCGTCCCGAAAATGGTCCTCAGCTCCATGGCGATATTTGCATAGAGATCCAAACTTGCATTGTGACGTCCTATAGAAGTAGCAGTCTACGGTCTTCCTTCCGGTTGGTCTTTTAGGGTTGTGGCAACAGACAAGAATGTGTATGCCACTAAATCTGAAGATAACTTCCACCATACTTCTAATTATTCTCCAGTCCAAACCGTCAAGTCCACAAGCAATCTTCGGTATCGCCAGGTCCATGATGTCCTTGGACAAAAGGGTATCCCTCAATTTATTTAAGGCATTCCATAGGTCACGGTAGTTTGGCTATTGATGGAAGAGCTGCTTCGTTACCATATAGAAGATACTTCTGTTGCCTATCTGCTCATTATTCACAATTTCAAGCACCTTTCCAACTTTGGGATTCTGCCTTCGTAGATCGTAGACCCGTCCAAACTTGTTTTTAAATACAACCGCTATTCCCCTGGACATCCTAAGGTCTTCCGCAACACAGTGAGCAATCGGCCGAAACCGTGAACAGATCTTTTTATTCTTCTCGAGTGACACCATACCGAGCTTTTTTACCGCTCGAATATAAATACATGAAGTCTTCAAAAGGCAACTCGTCTTCCGGCGGATTAACCCTCCTTACTCTAGCATCGTCTATTTGAGCATTGTTTCCAGCGTAAGGAGCCAATCGGTTGAAATGGATCACTTTCGGCTTTCCTCTTGGTTGTTTCCTGATCCTGTAGATGATGTCATTTATTCGATCCATGACTTCGTAAGGTCCCTCCCAAGAAGTCTGCAGCTTCGGTGAATAACCACGATGGCGCTGAGGGTTGTATAACCAAACTAGGTCTCCAGGTTGAAATCCTCCATTTTCCGCCTTGATGTCATATGCCTCTTTCATTCTATCACTGGCACTCTGGATGTTTAAACGAACTCGGCTGTGAATGTCGCTCATTTTCCTACGTAAATTGCTAACGTAATCTTTTCCAGCAATGTCTTCCCCTGGTAGGCAACCAAACCTCAAGTCACAAGGTAGACGAAGTTCACGTCCCATAACAATGCTAGCGGGTGTCTGGCCGGTTGTATCGTGGATAGAAGAACGGTACGCCAACAGGAACAGATGGAGGAAGCGGTCCCAGTCTCTTTGGTGATCAGAGACTACCTTGAACAGGTACCGGTTATCGTTCCATTCCCTGCTTAAAATACCCCATAGAGACCCTGTTCAAACCGATAGATATTTGTATCGGAATGTATGGTGTTTCTATAGGGTGTATCGGTATGTATAGGACCCATAGTTGGGATTTATGGTTGTTCTATAGGGATATCCACCCTTGATTTATTTGCTATTGGGAAAATACACATGTAATTTCTAGATTTATGCATAAATCTAGAAATTACTTTAGGTTGTAATAAAATGTTGTCAAGTGTTTTATGGTTGCTCTATAGGGATATACCCATATATCCTTCATTGAGTTATTTTCTATCGGTCTAAATAGGGAAAATGTAAATGTTATGGTGTGCCTATGGGTAGTTTCCTATACATTTTCTATCGGGCCGTATCCGGAAAAAACCATGGACAAATGCACATATTGAATCCGGTAGCGCCCGATAGATTATTTTGTATAGTTCTCTATGGGGTATTTTAAGCAGGGTTGCTTGCCGCGCAAACGGCGCACTTCTTGCACCATTCCTTCACATCTTGTTGGCTGTTGACCCAATAAAACCGTTCCCTAAGTCTTTCGAGCGTCCTGGTCACCCCAAGATGTCCTCCAGTAGTTCCATCATGGATTTCCTGCAGCACTTCTGGTATCCTGTTTCTAGGGATTATTATCTGCTTCCGGTCTTCTCCCCCTTCTGGCATCTCCAGAACGCGCTTTAGAAGCCCGTCACTTAAGATGATGAAATTCCATTGGGCCCAGTACGATTTCACATTAGGCGAATATTGGGCGACTTCCTGCCACGTTGGTTTACGGTCGTTTTTCTTCCAATCGATGATAAGCTTCAAATCCGGGTCCCTTTCCTGGTCTTGTTGAACCTCAGCGGATTGCCAATGATTATCCACGATTGTAGTCCTGCGAACAAACACATCCTTTTCTTCGGCCCTGAGACAATGTTAACAGTTCCGGGCACGGTCTTCTTGACAAGGCATCAGCATTTCTATGGATGGTCCCAGCCCGATGTTCTGTATCAAAGTTGAACTCCTGTAGTCTCTCAATCCATCTTGCTACCTGTCCTTCAGGATTCTTGAATTGCAAAAGCCATTTAAGGGCAGCATGATCCGTTCTCAGCAAGAATTTTCTTCCATACAGGTACTTGTAAAAGTGTTCGACTGATTTTACCACTGCCAACAACTCTCGTCGAGTAACGCAGTAATTACGTTCTGGTTTGGATAAAGTTTTACTGAAGTATCCAATAACTTTCTCTTTTCCTGCTTGAATCTGCGACAAAACAGCTCCCAGGCCCACATTGCTGGCGTCCGTGTCCAAAATAAATTCACCATCCGGAAGAGGATAACTTAGGACTGGTGAGCTGGTCAACGCGTTTTTCAGGTTCTTAAAGGCTTCTTGGCATTCTTCGTCCCATTGGAATCGTCTTTCTCCCTCTGTTAAACGTGTCAAGGGCTTAGCAACCTTTGCGAATCCAGGTACGTACCGCCGGTAGTAGGTGCATAATCCAAGAAACATTTCTTTGGACTAAGCTTCAGGCCAGAACTTCTTAAGCGCTGAAAGACTTCCTTCAGGTTTCTCATATGGTCCTCAAATGATTTTCCAACCACAATGATGTCGTCAAGGTACACCAAGCATGTCTTCCAGGATAGTCCCTTCAAAACCATTTCCACGAGCCTTTCAAAAGTTGCAGGGGCATTACATAGTCCAAACGTCATGACAGTAAACTGCCACAGTCCAGCTCCCACGGTAAACGCCGTCTTTTCTATATCTTCTGGTGCCAT